TGGCTTCCTGAGCAGACGGTTTACTGCTGCCCAACAACTCTGGCTCCCTGACATTTTCCCACACTCCCCGTAATGATAAGATGAAACCCACTTTTTTTAGTTACAGTTTTCTTCTCCACAAAACATATTCATACGATTTCCACATTTTTTCCATTTAATAATGTATAATTTAGTTCTTTTCTATAACCTTTGCCTTTTCTCCTGTTTCCCTGCTTAATAACAGTGAAACTAATGTTTAGTAACATTACTGTACTAAATCTATATTACTATAAATAAATGAAAATTTTATTTAATTTCATATTTCCCAATTTCTGATTGCATACAATCCTGTTGCTATTTATTTATTTATTCAATTTAAATGACTGTAAAAAGTGACTCTGGGCAACTTACAATTTTAGGTGCATAAAAACAAAAAATTAGAAAATAAACAACTGGATTAGAAAAGAGAACAACAGAACAAAAGAAATAATACAAATAATAATTTAATAAGATATCCATTTTTTCTTAAGCTAAGAAGCAGACAGGGAGTAAAAGAAGAAATTCCTTACCCCATACTTCCAGTTAAGCTCTTAGCAGCTTGTGGGGATGTGAAGAATTTTAATTAGGAAAATAATACAGAGGAGGCAAACACATGCTCTTTTCCTAACATTGCTCTCTGAAGCTAATCTGTCTGAACAGTTTTTAAATGTTAAAAAAGGCATTGGGAAAGTTATTTTGCAATCCCATTTAATCCAACGAACTCTCCACCCAAGTACATGTGAGAATGTCAGCCTTAGTGTCAGATGTGTCTTTACTTTGTCTATGGTTCTATTTTTCTCTTTCCAAACATACTAGTTGTGATGCATCCATGGTTGCCAAGGCAGACTTGAAAGTCTGAGCTTTTCCTAACTGGGCAACCTCATCATGGTCACTGAAAAACTCCAGGACAAGAAACTCCTATGTCATGCCTGAGACTGCCCAACTGTCACACACAGTATACCAACCAAATGTTATCCCAATGGCACACAAATAAATCAACCAACTATCTATAGGTAGTCCTCACTTAACAACCATTCATTTAGTGACAAGTTACAACAGTGCTAAACAAAAGGACTTACAACCGGTCCTCGCACTTACAACCGTCACAGCACCCCAGCGGTCAGATGATCATGATCCGGGCACTTGGCAACAAGCTCGCACTTACGATGGTTGCAGCATCCCGGGGTCACATGATCACCATCTGCAACCTTCCCAGCTGGCTTCCAGCAAGCAAAATCAATGGGGAACCATGTGATTCCCTTAATGACCGTATGATTCACTTAACAGCCATGGTGATTCGTTTAATGACCACTGCAAAAAAGGTTGTAAAATCGGGTGCGACTCACTTAACAACTGCCCCACTTAACAACGAATTTTACAGTTCCTATTGTAGTCATTAAGCAAGGACTACCTGTACATTATTCCAGCAGCCTAAGGTCAACAGAGGCACTCAAAATGCTATTGTGTTTGAAGATGTATCTAATCAGTGAGACAGCATTCCATATATTATACACTCACCCCTCCCCTCCCCGTACAGACTTAGCTTACTACATCTTGGAGTAACCCTAATTAGGAGGGATGAATCCCCTCCTTTTTCCAAACCAGGTTAATTGCCGGCAAAACATCTACCAGTCCTGGATGAAAGTGCTGATCTTTATCACTGACCTGACATTAAAAAGAAGATCTTTAAACTACAGGATCTTTACTGTCATTAGGACTTCCTTGGCTACATTGCAACCATATACTTTCTTGACTATTTCTGTGATAAGTACTATAGTTTTGCACCTCTTTACTAATGATCAAGCTACAAAGGCACTAACAATTCTTTTGTCTTGAGACAACCCATAATTGATGGTATGTCAGGAGAACTAAGAAGCATTCATTACATTCCAAACTCCAGCTTCGGACATCTCTGGCTCCAACTGGCCTTCAAATGTCATCTGAAACAACTGATTGACAAATAAGCCAAACTACCAGGCATTATCAATATGTTTTCAGCTTTGGTTACTTCATTTAACAGCAGTCTATAATTTACCCCATTCCTTCAAGCGTGCCTGATGGTCTCATCCTAACAAGACTTCAATTATTGTCTGACTTGGGCACTAAAACAAGGGTGACACACAAAGAAAGCCAGGAAGTCTTGCAATCTTAGAAATGCCCCACTCCATCCTAACAAAGAGGCCAGTGTACTCAGAACAGGAAATGGAAACAAGAGTTTTTCAAAAGCTCCAAGTGAAGAATGAAGGATTCAGAGTTTTTGTCAGATTCAACGTTTACAAAAATGACTTAATCTATAGTTCATTACAGGGCCAACCACCTATGTCTTCTAGCAGCCAAGAAGGGAAGTATTTCACATCAGGAAGAACAAAAATACAATATGTCATGTGCTGGAATTAGTTCAAGGACTTTACAAGAAGCCAGGTTCAATGCATGAACAAGGAGACTGCAGTCTACTCGATGTATACTGCTTCATCACACTGCAATCTGACATAGGGGTGATGGAAGGTACGTGTGTAGGAAGCCACTATAAAACTGAGGCCAATGGCATAAAGTGTTCATCTAGTTATCTGTCGGCAGGAAAGGAGAGGGAGAAACAAGCATGTGGAAAAAACATGCAAGGAACCAGCCCCAGCTGGGTGCTTCATTTGCATATATTCCTGGCTGCCACACAGAACTAGCTTCCACAGCATTATAAATGCGTGCGAATGGAATTGATATTGGAAGCCTTTTCTGTCAAAACTTTCTCCAGTTATTCATAATTATTTCTAACTTATACTATGTGGCAATATTTGTGTTGAGGTCTTTTTGTTCTGTGGCTTGTTTATATAGTATATTTTGTTCTTCCTTTCCTTGTAATGAGTAAAACATGTTATGGTTTTAAATGAAAACATTTTAATTTTTAAAAAGCTATCTCACAGCGTATTGAATAATTAAAGCTTGTTTTAGAGCACATCTGTTGAGGTTGTCTCAATTAAGCTTCATAATTCTTCTAAAATAACAGATACTGTTTAAATAAGTTTTAGAAACTTACACTGGACAAAATAAAAGAGGTGCTTGTGGACAGGCAAGCTAGGAATTATATCTAATTATCTGTCCCTGATATTCCCCAAAAGGACCCTGGTTTGGTCAGTTCTCAAATAAATTCCATTTCACAGAATGATACTCAAGACTGTATAAGCGTACCTGAATTCATACAGTGGAACTTTCTTTCCTCCCCTTGCATTTTTTAAATCTGCGCTAGGAGGATCCCCAACTTTCTAGGACAGGTTGGAGGGCTTCGCTCCAATGACAGGTGTAGTCCATTTGGTGGACAGACACAACAGGAATATGTTTATATAGCAAAATAACCAATTTTGATTTTCTAGTTGCAAGATTAAACAGATATATTCTCAGCTTCAGAAGAATATCTGTTAGGCAAGTGAAAAAAAGTTCTTTAAATGCAAAACTACACAGAACTCAAAGACAGAGAATCAACCCTATATACATGGCCTTTTATCCACACAATCCTACTCTGCATTATGATATATGTTCTAAGGCCAAATTATGTTCTAAGGAAAATGTTATATGTGTATTCACCAAGATTCACCAAGAGAAATACACATACTATAGAGAGTGATAAGGAGGATGGAGAGGTTGAATACAAATTGTTTGAGGATAGACTACTATCAGAGGGAAGGAATAACTTATTTTCACCCTGTTCCCTTCTCCCGGAAAAGCTGCTCAGGTAGACTGGGAGTTCTGATGCCAGAGTAGCAATGCTAAAATAGTATTAGCCATCTGTGCAACAAATAATCAAAGGATTTCAGAAAACAAGAACTACACCCTACCTTAACCCTCCCTTGTGGTATGAAATGCTTTCAAATAAATTATGGTTTCCTCCTGCTCTTGTAGCAGATACTCTCAGGTTTTGTTTGTGTGTGTGTGTATGTGTGCATTATTTACGCTCCAGGAAACAGCATTGTCTGGTTTTACCTTTTCATGCATATTATTGTCATTTTTTCATGCAAGACAGCAGAAGAAGCTTGAATGAATCTACCTATGGTTAGCACAATTATTATTTGACTGTAGTTAGATAATTCCTAACCAAGTTTTAATTCTATATAATTAGTACAGTGGTACCTCGGGTTACGAATGCCTCTGTTAACGAACTTTTCAGGTTACGACCAGGTCCGGCCACAAAAATTTACCTCGGTTTGCGAACTCCGCCTCAGGGTACGAACAGGATACACGGCCATTTTCCCTCCCGTGAGACGGTCCGCGGCCATTTTTCCGCGCCTGACACGTGGTCCGCGGCCATTTTTCCGCCCCGACA